TAGAGTTACACACTTGGAGTTTGCTTCTATTCCTCAGGGATGGCATTGTGACCTCAGGGCGAGGCCCTTGAGAGGAAGGTAGGAAAAGACATCCACATTTATCTGGCAGCGTATCAACTGTGGAGACAGCAACTAAGAGAAAAAGCTACATGGGACTGGTGCCTGTCAGCGCCTCCTTAGCATGATAGCTATATTTTAACATTGTCTCAGCGTGAGCCTGACTGTAACAATGAATCCAGATAAAAGAGGAAGCGATAATAAACCACAAACAATAAAAACCAACAGAGGTTTCTTCTGACCCTGCCACTGTAGCTCTTCCGTCCCATGGGGCCTGTCAGAAAATGCTAACTGAAAACACTTAGAGAGGCTGCCAGAATCCAGCTGTACCTAGAGACAAAGGCCCAGGAGCCCTAGAGAAACCTCCCCTTTCCCCCAGCATCTTCTTTGGCAAAAGCCACAGTGCTGTACTGGTCAAGAGTAGAGCCTGTATCAGAGCTGCTGTGGTGGATGGGGTGCAGGCCAAGCAGGAAGGGATGAAGCTACAGTAAAATCACATTTCTTGTGGTGAATAGTACTGCCCAGGGCTGGTGAGAGGTGAGGGAGAGTCTAGAGAGAGCCACTGGGTTCTCATCTATGGGAAAGGCATCTTTAATAATTAACAAATGCATAAAGGCATAGAGTCATCACTGTGACCTCTGACATTTTGCAACTCTGAGCTAATTGCCAAGCCTGGAGCCACCTTACAGACTCCCCAGCCAGGACCACTGAGGTGAGGAAAGCACCAGAAACTGTTGCAATCAACTGAAATTCACAGCTAAGTCAATGTAAGAGTCAAACGTGGGACACGCTTGATGAGATGCACTGTTCAACACTGGGTTATGGAAGGTGCAAACAGGGAACGGGCCTTGTGGATTACTGAAATTAATAACTCAGAACCAAACAAAGTTTAAGCTTTCCTCTTCTTGCTTTGTTAATACTGTCCTATCTTCATCCAACAGAGAGCAGAGTTTCCTTTTTCCCAGTATCTGTTGAAATAAGACATATGCTTTTGCGTGTCAAAAGAGAAAGAAGCTTGATCCAACCCGTACAGGTCACTACGCCTTACAGGTCTTTCCAAAGTCCAAGACCTGGAATACTTCTTTTTTTGTAATGTAACTAAATGCTGTATTGAGTTCCTTGAAGGCAGGGATGTGGTATAGGGTAAAGAGAACACTTCTGATCCTTGGGTTTAAATTCCTGCTCTGCTCTTTATCAGCTGTAGATGTAGGGCCATTACTCAGTCTTTCTGAGCCACACGCCATTTAAGTGAAGATGTTAAAGAGCTAGCCAAAAGGTGGGGAAGGACCAGAGAAGTAGTCGGAAATCTGGAGATTGTGACACATTGAAGTTGAGAGAACAAAGTATTTCTAGAAAGAGAGAGTGTGTGCTGGAAGCTGCCACAAAGATTGTTAAGGCTGGGATATGAAGTATCTCCCCCCCAAAAGCTCTGGATTGAAGGCCTGGTCTCCAGCTGGTAGGGAGTGGTAGAAACTTCAGAAGGTGGGGCCCAGCTGGAGGAAGGTCACTGGAGGTGTGCCCTCACCCTCTCCCCTTCCTGTCCACCATGAGGAGAGCTGCTTTGCTCTACCACCCTCCCACCACCCTGGTATTCTGCTTCACTTCAGGTCCAAAGCAATGGAGCCAGACGATCATGGACTAAACCTCTGAAACCACGAGCCAAACAAACCCTTCCTTTTTTAAGTCGTCTATGTCAGGTATTTTAGCTCAGAGACAAGAAACTGACTAACACAAAGACCGTAAGAGAAGTTCCTTCTGTGGGCCCCTGAGGAGCAATCTCACACTAACTTATTCCTGGGCCAACATTTCAAGACTGTGGTGTATCTTGAAAGAAAGAAAACAAGACAGAAGTATCTAAGACCACTGTATTGTTTCAAAGGACTCATTTGTACTTTAAAATAAAATCTGAGGACAGACTTTTATGACTCTGCTTCCTCTTTTCTCTGACAATGACAAGGATTTCTAGGTTCTCTGCGCCCATTTAAGGGAGAATTTTAAGGATGGTGTAAACTAAGCCTGGACTGTATAATCTGGGGCAGGTTCAGAAACACTTCCTCCTCACTGTAAGCATATCTGATAAGAGTATTTCCATACTGCTGTGCAGTACGCCTTTCAAATGCAGCTCTCTTGATAAGCCTAAATTTAAGCAAACACAATTTCAAAATATTAAGACAATGAAACACAGACATCATAATATTCTAGTACAAAGTTCTCCCAACTGCACTCCCACAGGGGAAGAACTTGGCAATCCAAAGCTAAGGATTGACCATAGCTCCACGTTCTCTTCACAGGGGAACTGACTTGCCAAGGGACACCTCTCATCAACAGATGTTAAATACCATGCCAGGACTCCCACCTAAAAGTGAACCCTCTAGCCCTCGGCTCCCTCTGCTGCCTCCCCAGCCAACACAACCTCCTTACTTGCTTCACACTCCCCAGCTCTGTTCCCCGAACTCACGCTCTCAGGCTGGCCTCCCTCTCCACTACTCGAAAATAAGAGTGAACGTCAAAGTCACCACCATCTTTCATGTGACCCACCTGAAGGTCACTTCTTTCTCACCCTCCTCCACCCAACACCACTATTCCCACCTTCTTGCCTCACTGTCTTCCATGACCCGTGCCCTGTGTTCTCCACATGCAACGACTGCCCCAGGATCCTTTGCTGGCTCCTCTTCTCCTGCTTTCTCCTTTCCCTTGACTTCAGTGTGCTGAATGTTCTGATATGCCTTTCACACCCGCTGAAGTGTTAGGGTTTTTTGTTTGTTTGCTTGTTTTTGGTGTTTTGTTTAATTGGTTTTTAAAAAATTTTTATCATACTATTATTGTGCTGGGGGTATACTGTGACATTTAGAAAAGTTCTTACAATTTATCTTAGTTGGACTCACCCTCTCCATCACTCCCCTTTACCCCCTTCCCCACCGAGTTCTTAATGTTGAATATTTATTTGACACACACTGGAACCTTCATTTTCCTCTCCAGAGCCTGTTCCTCATAACCTTCAGTATCTCAATAACTAGCATCACCATCTACCCAGCTGCTCAATTCAAAAACTTAGAAGTCATTCTTGATACACTCATGGCCTTCCTTTTCATAGTCAGGTCAACAAAGACCTACCAGTCCTACCACCAAAACACGTGTCCAATAGGGCTGCTTCTTGCACCTGTCACTGCCCTACCAGGACCCCCTTGCATGGACCACCGAAGCACTGGATCCCACTCCTGGCTCTCCGTTTGCAGCCCAGTCCACACAGCAACACAGCAGCACTGTCAACAGCAGACAGGTCATGCTCCTGCCCTGTTGAAGAATCTCTGAGGTCGTCTATAGGGCATAGAGTAAGGCTTCTGTCTGACTCTCACAGTCCTGCTGCCTTTTCTGTCCCCACAGCATCTGAAGGACCTTTCCTGCTTCAAGACCTCCATGTTGCTCACTCTGCTAGGCTGAGCACAGGCTGGGCTCAGTCTTGAAGTTCTCCAGTTAGTTCAGATTCATACCTGTAATCCCAGCTACTCAGGGGACAAAAGCAGGATCGTGAGTTTAAGGTCAGCCTGAGCAAAGTTAGCAAGATCCTATCTCAAAAACAAAATAAATAGAACAAAAGGGATGGGGACGTGCCATGGCTTAAGAGGGAGAGCTCTTGAGACTCTGGGTTCAATTACAAGTACCACAAAAAAAGAAGGGAGGTGAGGCGGAAGAAGAGAAGGAAGACAAAGAAGTCTCTGAACGATCCTGGATCCTGCCACAGCACTGCTCACCACCCATGGCCAGCCTGTGCATGTAGCAGTGTCCCCACTAAATGGAAGTGACATGAGAGCAGAAACCCTGTGGGCACTGGCAGTGGGGCAGCCCTCCTGTCCTGGCTCAGTAGACTCTGGTCAAGGGAACAGATGCAGGCACAGTGGCACTGGGGTGGAGCACGGGGCTCCTGGCCCCTGTACTAACCCCAGCTCCAGCCGCCTCTCCTAAACAATGGATGAGTCAGCTTGGGAGGCCATGGTTGGCGTGTGAGCATTGGAGCTTCCGTGGGAAGGGTGAGGCTGTACAAAAGCACCAGCCAGCCTGGCTCCCAGAGGTGCAGACAGCTCCCTGCATTTCCACCAGGCAGGAGGGGTGGGGTGCTTACTGAAAACCAAACCTCAACAGCAAAGTCATCCAAAGCAAGCCTCTGGTTGGGAGGGGTGGGGAGGATGACGGAACTGTCCTTCTGGGAGGCCATCTAAAATAGTGTGAAGAGAAGGGGCAATTCCTTCCCATACGTCTGACTGCAGGTTCCAGACCCTTGACTCTGGTTCAAGAGGGGGCTCCTGTTGCCATAGCAACCTCAGTGCTCCTGGGGCCTAGGCACAAGGCTTCAGATCAACAGCCATTTAGAGTAGGGAAGAAAAGGAAAAGAGCAGAAAGGGACAAAAATGGAACAAACAAACAAAAAAGGCAAGAAATAATCCTTCAAATGCCACAGCCACACTCTAAAAACAAAACTGAGAGCGGGAGTGGACCCCTCCCTCTGCCATCGCAGCTTCCTGCTGAATGACATCTGAAACAAAAGGCCCCTTTGACACACACATCTGCTACTGCTAAGCACTTAGCAGTCAATATTTTCCTAAAGATTTTTCCCCTTTAGCTTTAAAGGGTTACTGTCTGCCAGGCTGCCCAACCCCAACCTTCTCCACATAAAGTGACTATTAGAACTTCAAACGAAGAATTTACATCCGGAAATGGCCTCACGCTAGTTTTTCCTGAATAGAGACACCAGGAAAATGTCAGAAGGCAAACCCAAGCCCACACTCTGGAAGACTCAAAACAGAGCTATCACATCCCTGGGAGGGTGAGTGAGGCCAGGCTGGTTTGATTTACGAAGGAAACAGCAGATTTAATCAGACAGCCTGATGCATCTTAAAGGGAAGAAGAGGGAGGGAGAGAAGTGCAGGAGCGTAAGGGTGCCTTACCTTAACACCTGCATCTCCTCAGGGGAGTTCTGTAGCTCATCCTGGAGGCGATGCCAGCGCAGGCAAGCCCTCAGCTCTTGCTGCTCCTGGGCCTCGTGGGGGGACAGCTGTTTGAGCCACAGACACATAAACACACGTGAGCAAAACAGTCATTGTGTTGGTCAGACCTGCCCCACAGAATGGCTTGCTTTGTTTCAGTGCCTTCCCCCCTGCCTAGGCAGGCTCCCTGCTTTCTCCTTGCTCTCCACCAGAAAACTCTTAACTGTTCAAAGGAGATGAAGGAGCACTCCAGCACAGAACACTCTAGCACGCTTGTGTTGGTGGGTGGAGCCAAACCTGTCTGTTTGGAAGGGGTCCCTGGTCTTAGAACACATCCCACGCCCTGGACACACACCTGGCCTGGAGAGAAGGACCTTCCCTTCAGGCCATTTCCACTTTGGTTCCATCCAGCCTGCCCTCCTTTCCTTCTCTGTGTTTTTGCACAGGGAGGGGGAGGCTCCTCTATTTACCTATTTTTCCCAACCCTCAATTTTGTTAAGCACTGTTTACAGTGGAGCTTGCTAATGTAACCCAGATGATTCTGTTTGCATATAGTCAGAAAAAAAAGCATACTGCCTGGACTCAATTTGGGGCCAGGGAAGGCCATCATACTCTGCCCTACTGAGTTAGAATTGGTTGCTGTCACATGGAGAGCTACAATCTCAGTAAGGAGGGCAGCAGAATATCCCCCGGGGAGGAAAAAGTGTAGGATCTATAGGTATTTCTGGACATCCAGGTCCCTGATAATTCATCCAAGTATTTACTGAGTCTCTGCTCGACCCTGGGGATATTATGGACAGTCTCCATGAGGAAACTAGGGCTGGGGGTGGGGCACAGGTAAGGACACTAACATCAGTGTGCAAGTGATGGTACAGTTAAGGAAGGACTCAGGTGTCCCTCTCCAACCAGGACATGTCAGAGGCTTTCCTATAGAGGTGATGCTGCAGGGAAGACAGGTCAGCCAGGGTGCAGAGATTACTAGGTGTGGGAAAGCCTGCACAAGGCCCTGGGGTATGGAAAGAGTGCCATGTGCTTAGAGAATGGTGAGGGATGTGGTCAGGCTAGGACAGCTACCATCCAGGGAGGGAGAGAAGTGCCAGATGACCAGCAGATTCTATGTGCCTGTTGTCACAGACCCAACCACACCCTCCCCACGTGCTTGATGATCTATTGCAATGTGACTGTATTTGGAGACAGGACCTCTAGGAAGGTGATTTAAGGGTATATGAGGCCAGAAGATGGGATCCTAGTCCTATAGGATTGTGGTCTGTGAGGGAGAGACACAGAGCCCACTCCCTCTCCTCAAGCATGGAGGACAGGCCATGTGAGAGCAAAGTAAGAAGATGGCCACTGCCAGCCTGGAAGAGAAGCCTCAGCACAAATCAACCATGCTGGCACCTTGATCTTGGACTTCCAGCCAGCCTTCAGAACTGGGAGAGAACACGTCTGTTCCTTAAGCCACCCCCTCTGGTGTCTGATTATGGCAGCACAAGCAGATTAATATACCTGTGAAAGGAGTTTAGACTTTATCCAGATCAATGACAAGTTATACAGTTTGACCTTGCAGCTCAATTCACTTTTCCCTGCTACTCTGAGTGCAGTGGTGCTCCCAGCTTACTCTGTGACTTTATGCTCCTCCACACTGCACTTCTGGTGCCCAGTACTGCAGAGTCTCTGGAAGCACCCCTTCCCTGGTGGAGCTGCTGCTGTCCACAGAGTGCTCCTCTCCCGCTGGGAAAGTCTGGCACCTGCACTTGTCAGGTGGCCAGCTCAGTGTGACCCTTAGAGGAAGGGGTCGAGCAATGGATGTGCTCTGGTAACATCTCCAAACTCCAGAATGGCCAATTTACCAAGGGGTGTTTGCGTTTTCACTACACTCACGTCAAAGAGTGATGCAGTAGACTAAGCCCACTGTGGGTTTGGGGAAAGGACGATGGAGGAAGGCTGGCTCCTGCTTTTCCTTGAGGCTCAACTCACAAGTCACCTCCTCCACCAAGGCTTTCCTGTCCCCTCAGACCTGGCCTCTCCTACCTCAGAATGCACACAATTGGTGCTCACTTCTCTTTCCTAATTTATTTTCTCCTTCCTTACACTGAGTGCTCTCCTTAACCTCAGCCTTTTATCCCTATGAATTGAGCACAGAATGGTCACAGAAGGCAAGCAGCTGTGAGGCACAGGCAGCTTCTGTCAGTGGGTACAGACCTATTCAGGGTAGAGGCAGACCAGATAAGGAGACTAAGGAGTGGCTGTCGGAACAACAGGCAGGGAAGAAGGCCCTGTCTCCAAACACCGTCACACTGCAGCAGGTCTTCAACATGCTTGTGAAGTGGGGCAGATGGGTCTGTGACAACAGGCACACAGGGCCTGCTGGTCATCTGGCACCTCTCTCCCTCCCTGGATGATTCTTTTTCGGGATTCAGGAGGGAATAAAGGACTGAGATACTGTTACCCGATGCCTGAAATGAACTCACAGTTGCCAAGAACAGCACCAATATGATGGTCTCGGAATAGAACCACAGGTGAATATGTGTTATTGAGAGAAGCAAATTTATATTAAGCTCGTGCTGAGCCTGTGTGCAGATGGGTAGAAATACAAAGAGGAAAAGAAGAGGGGTTTCCTGTACGCTCTTCATGTATCTGCAAGGTGCGAAGCTCACTCATAGGTTATTACACTCACCCTGCAATGCTAAGCTTCCTACTCCATTTACGGAGGGGAAACTGAGTTTCAGGGAAGTCACAGATCCTACCTGTACTCAGAAAACTTGTGAGCAACAGAGCTGGGACTCAAGACCTGGGCCAGCTCAGAACATGACCTCTTAAAAAAATGCTAAGTAGTCCAGTGTGTAAGAGGCAGGGATGGCACAGAAAGGAAGTGACTCAAATACTAGGAACTGGAACACAAGCAGGAAGCATTTTAGCTACCACATCCTCATCAGAACTGGTGGCCAATTCTTTAAAGCACAGGTGTAAAATGGATGCATACTGGCCATGCTTGGCTTCTGAGTGTTTGATCTATATACTTTTTGTTGTTGTTGATGGGGTGCTGGGGATTGAACCCAGGGCTTTGCATATGCTAAATACATGCTTTACTACTGAGCTATATCCCAGTCCTGACTTGTGTAACATTTTCTAAATTTATGAACTTCACATAAAAATCCAGATTTATGGGCTCGGGGCATGGCTTAAGTGGTAAAGCTCTTGCCTACCGAGTATGAGGATCTAAGTTCAAACCTCAGTACAACATCAATAAAAAAACAGATTATGGAGTCACTAAAAAACTAGAAGTCCAGGCTATCCTGAGTCCTCCCTCTAACATGCCCACATTGGCTAGAGCTCAGTAGCAACTTCCCATTTGCCACCACCCTCCCCACTCCCTAATATACAACACCAACTGCTTCATTCTTTACTTACTACTCATTCATCTGAGACTAAGACTCTTGACTTACATTTCAAACTGATTATTTAACACACCCAAGTCAATGTCACCACAACCATAACCACAAAGGAATGCTTCAGTATGACCTTGAGTGTTCATCTCTGCTCAAATGTGTCCTCACCAGAGGCCTTCGCTGACTCACTTCCAAAGGAGCTTCCCCCTCTGTGGGCCCATCTTTCTTCACAGTGCTCTTCACCACCGCCCACTTGTTCATCCATTCTCTCTCCTGTCTCTTGACTGCAGACCTGCAGGGAGCAGGTTTCCCTCTCTTGTTTATGCAGCTATCTACCCAGGAAAAATGGAGCCTAGCACACTCAGCACGGATCTGTTGAATGAATGAACAACTGGAAGTAGAACTAGAATCTGGGTAGGGAAACACTTAGTGTTTTTTTCAACCCACCTGCTGTGCTTCAGCCCAGATAATGTCTTCTAGGTGAGTGGCAAACCCTTCGCTAAGCCATTCCTCTGTCCAGTCACGCGCCCCGATGGCCAGGCCAAACCAGGAGTGAGCGATTTCATGGCAGAGGCGGGTCCCACAGAGGCTCCAGCCTGTCAAGGTGCTCTGGGAGAGGAAGATGATGTGTGGGCTGTGGATAATGGGAGAGAAAACACATGGAGTCCTGTTAGAGCCTGTCCTGGAGGCTGCCCCACAGGGCGGCTTCCTCAGCCCAGTGAGTCTGTTATTATCTTGTGCAGGCTAGATCATGACCGATAGACTCGCACCTGAGATGCTTTTAGACCTAAATGAAGTGGCAGTTTATGTTTCTGGCAGCGGTTCAGGTTGCCGTTCCTGCCAGCAGTTGTCTCCGTCATCAAGCGGCTATTACCTGTAATAAGTAACCTGCACCACAGTTTTATACTGAAAAAATTACAAGGCAATGGAAGCGTTTACTCTGAGACCTGGACTGTAAAAAAAGGGCAGGTGTGAGAATGTGAAGTCCATGCTGTCAGGAGAGTGATCAAAGAAGACCCTTCAGCCAAAAATCCCGGCAGCTTACAGGCGAATTGAGAAGTCATGCAGAAGGACAGGAAAGCTAAGAAGAATGGAACCAAAAATTTCCCATTTCACACTGGGATTGGCGTGGAGTTAACAATCTAACAGGTGCCACAGCTGGGAGAGGTTTCCAAGGGACCCGGACATGGGTCGAGTCTCTGGGAAACAAAGATTTTCAGTGGAATCTGGGAGCTTACAGATTCACATGATATAACAAAATTATGAAGAGAGAAGGCGGGAGTTAACCCACCCAGGTGTGCAAACAGCCCCAGGGCTGGCACCAGATGGGGAGATTTATCTAATCTCATTTTCCATACCTTGTTTTAAAGCCCCAAATACCATGATTAAAATTGCAGAGATGAAACAGGAAGAGGGGGGCTGAAGGCAGAGGAGGGAGATAGAATAGTTCCTGTGTTTCCACCTTCAGCATCGATCCAGGACTTGTTTACAGTTTTCCTAATGAAGAGTTTGTCTTAAAAGAAAATCTCTCCTCCACCAACTGAAAACCAGTTGTGAAACCATCCAAATGAAGGAACTGTACACACTAGTTCCTTCTTTGGAAAGCCATTTGTTTGCCATCACGTCAGCTCTGCACAAGCCAAGGCTGCTTACAGATCTTTTGTCCACGCCCACGGCCACCATTAGAGAAAACCCACCTACATCTTCCTTGCACAACCATCACCATTCAGCTCCAGAGCTCAACTGCCACTGTGGCAGTCAGGTCTGCCAAAATAGACAGCTTTCATGTGAAATAATAACAGGGCAGGAGTGCAGATGAAAAAGCATCGGCCAGGCTCTCCAGAGTCCACCAGAAACTCCAGAAATTAAGTAGAGTTGAAGCATTGAGGACAAAGGAGTGTGATGTAACAGGCACCTATGGCTGTGCAGAACACTAACTAACTCAAAAAAACATAAAGAAGGGAGTGGGGGGGGAGGAAGAAGAGAAGGGAGGAAGGAGAGAGGGAGGAAGGAGGGAAAGAAGGGAGTTATGAAGGAAGGAAGGAAGGAAGGAAGGAAGGAAGGAAGGAAGGAAGGAAGGAGAGAGGAAGGGAAAATGAAGGAAGGACAGAGGGAAGAGGGAGGAAGAAAAGGAAATGTGGAAAGAAGGAAGGAAAAGAAGGAAGAAGGAAAGAAAGGAAGGAAGGAGGAAAGGAGGAAGGGAGAGAGGAGGGAGAGAGAGAGGGAGAAGGAAGGAAGGGGAGGGGGAAGGAAAGGAAGAAGGGAGGGAGGGAGGGAGGGAGGGAACAGAGGCACCAGAGCCAACCTCCTCTTACTGAGAAAGTGGCGACTGAGAAGACAAAGTGTGGAAACTGGCATTTTCAAGTAAATGAGCCCTGGCTCTGGCATGTGCAGTGCTACAAGAAAAGCCACAGAAATGTCCAAGTAAATAACATTCCAGACGTACTGCTGGCAGCAGTTCACCCTTTTGGCTAAAACAAAACAGAAGTAACTTCAGGCCTTATAAACAGGCTCAAAGAGGAGCCTGCCTCAGAAGGGTTCACTGGCCAGAGGGCAAAGGCCAAGCACACAGCCTAGAGACTGGACAGCTGACCCTCCTCAGGCAAGAGGATGATTGAAATCCCGGCTAGACCTGCCACTGCTTTGTCCTTGTCCCAGTGTGGAAGCCTGGCCAAGGCCCATGTAGGCAAACATAAGTCTGTGAGCACCAGAAGGGCTGCAGGAAGGCAGTGTGGGGCAGCAGGTCACCTTCCTGCCCTTGACTTTTCCCCTTGCACAGTCCCTGTGTCCTCCGCCAGCTCCTCCCCTGCCTTCTGCACTCTGGAAGCATGGCAGCAGTCCTACCTAAGTCCCCACTTCTCACCTCAGTCCTTTCTAAAATCCCAACTACACGTACTTCCTACTGCTCTCTGAGAAAGACAGAAGCTTGAACATCCTCCAACCGAATGGGAAGGAACATTTCTATTTCACTGGATAGAAACCAGCCCATTATCAGGGAAGCCATTTTCCAGCTGGGATTCAGACTCTGAAGCCTCTAGCTGTCCAGTCTGTCCTCTAGGTTGGGCTATATATACCGGGTCACTCGGTGGCTATTTCCCTGTAAAGAACAAGTCTTCTTTCCCTCTCTCAATAAAAAAAAAAAAAAAAAAAAAAAAAAAGCCAAATTAGAAGCATGGAGTGAGGCTGTGATAACCTTTCTGACAGGTGTTAACAAAATTCCGACACAAAAGGGCCAGCTGAATAGTCTTTCCAGGAGAAGTTCCTTCTCTCTTTTTGACCCTAAATGTCAGAATTTCTCAAGACAAGTAGATTTTTAAATCATTTATGTTTCTAACTGCTTTTCTTCAACAGCAAATGAAGAAAAGCACAGGGTGTTCTTCAGTTCACCTCAAGGGGTGACGTTAACTATTCCTTCATCGATGGATACTTTGCCTCTTGTCCACCTTCACAACAGGATGAAGGCTGAGAATATTCTACTCCTACCTTAACCCTGACAGAAGAGGCTCCCACATTCCTGCACTCTCACAATCTGACTCATGCCTCCATGCCATCAGTCTTCATTCTGATGGGCCCACAGGGGTTTCTGTCTTACCCCGTGAAAGAGTCTGTCAGCTCCTCCACAAGTGCCAGATTGTAGATTCACCATCATTACACAGGACAGAAGACTATCACTTCAATAATCTTCATCCTAGAAATCCGCCGAGTTTACTGCTGTTCCCAAATGAGGGATGGGCAGGAAAGTGACAAGCCAGTCTCATGGGAGGCGTCTCTTTGCTACCTGAGGGAGGAAAGGGAGTTGGGGGAGGAGGAGGGGGTGAGCAAGCCAGGGGTGGTGTGGAGCCATAGCAGGCCAATGCTGGTATCTTTTCCCCTAGAGACCACCAGCATGGCGTGGTGGAGGCTGCCTCCTCCCCCAGAGGCCAAGCTTACTGGACGGTTGTCATGTCTGGCCTGAACACTCTTTCTCAAGACTGTTCCTCAATGCTGCCTACCCAGCCAGCCCAGAATGCTAGGCCCGTTAATTTAAAACATGCTGTAGCAGAGGAGGAAGAAGCGCCTTCATTACTCCCAGGAGCGGCTCCAGTCCTTCGGGAGGAATTCAATTTGGTGCGGAAATGGAGAATTTCATCAGATCTTAAGTAGGAGCTGGTGTTTGATTTATTTCTGCTTTTTCCAGGGAGACCTGGCCAGCGTGGCCCATCTCACTGCTCAGGGAGTGTTGCAGCCCTTGGCAGCTCTGGATGGAAGCCACAGCCACAAGTCAGGGCAGATTGCAAGGTGGCTCTGAGGACTGGGGCCAGGGACCTGCCTCAGGCCCCTCCTCCCATTACAGTGGAGCAGGTCCCTTGTGGGGAGCAAATGTATTACCTCACATCCTCGAGAGGCTATGTCATAGGAATGTATTTACCAAGCTTGAACCTCTTGTGCATTTAACATTTTTCACAATTTCAACGGCCTATGGAGCCACTATCCTAGGATGGAAAGAAGGAAGAAAAAAACCAACACAGAGCGAAGCCAATTCCTTCCTGCCAGCGTCCAGTTGGATAGTTCAAGGGCCTCAGAATCACATGGAAAACAACCTTTGCTTGTTGTGACTTGATTAGTTGCTGATATCCTTTGGACAAGGGAAGTATACACTCATAGTGGTCAGGAATCTGGAAAGACAGGCGAGTGCTGGTAACCTGTGTTCTCTTTCCTCCATAGGCCTGCACTCTTCCAGCTCACCTACAAACCAGGTCCTGCTCCTTCCACTCTGAAATAAAGTCATCCTGTAGTCCCGCTTTCCTGGCTGAAGTCTAATGTAGGGGATGCTGGTCTCATAGGCAAAGCAGTGGCCCAGATTACCTGGCTGAACCCCACTCCCCTCCAGCTCTTAGACTGCTCAGTGGAGAAGAACCATCTTCCACTGTCCTCATCTGGTGTCCTACAGTAGCCACATATGGTAAGCTTCAAATGGAAGGCTTAAAAGGATGATAACCTTTTGAGCGAGGGGACTTTCAGTTACCTAAAGTGAGCATTAGCTCTAAAAATTTGGCAGAAAACTTACTACATCTGAGCAAAGTTTAAGGCGATACAGATTTGGGGAAAAATGCTCTACCCCAAAAACTCAGGAGACAGATTTACTATTCCAGTTTACTGACCATGAAAGTGAGGCACAGAGAGGTAATATTACTAGTCCAAGGTCACACAGCTGGCAAGGAATAGAGATGGCCTTTGAACTCATGCAGTCCTGACTGAAGCCTCCCTCTGACTGGCTCTGCTCACTCACTGGGTTTAGACCTGTGAATTCTATGCTCCTACTCCTCTGTATCAACTAGGCCCTCTGGTGCAATGATCACTGATCTCCCAGAACCTCCGCCTATATAGCCCACCAAAGGGAAGCCACCAGCCATGCCTCTCCTCCTGAAGTCTACATCACAGCTAGACTGGCAAGAGGTTCCAGGCCTTTTGATCAGTAATACTTCTGCCTCTTCCTGGCAAGGAGGGCAGGGAAAGAGAAGGAAGATGACAGAACGGGGAAGCACACTGCCTAAAGAGCTTAAATTCACCGTAGTGGGCCACCTTAAGGGGATGCTTTAGACAAACAGGTGCCAGAGTGTTCGGTCAGGCCCTGCTCTAGGACTCCAGGAGGCC